ATAAATATGACAATTCGGCACATTCTCGATTCGTTGTCTCATACAACTTTTTGAGTGGATCCGTCGTCGCTTCGCAATTTTGTGAGAAAATTTATTCTTGTGCTGATTCTGTAACCCGAAATCGAGTCATAATCAATCGTAGCCCCGCACAACCGGAGACAAAATTAAACACAAATAAAACCTTGTCTTTCGAAGGAGTCCGAAAAACCTTGTCTTTCGAAGGAGATCGAAAAAACCTTGTCTTTCGAAGGAGATAGACCCTTTCTTTCGAGGGAGACATTATTATTGTAACCTAAGAAACAAAAAGCTTAAAAGAAAATAAAGATTGCGGCTTTCCACTGGTAAAATCCGATGGAAGCCCCTTCAAAATTGATAATGAAGGCGAGAGTTTAGGAGAAAGAAGAGAGAGAGAGGAGGCTAATTTTCAATCGTCTTCTGATATGGAGTTGTGTCAAATCAATTTTTAGTGTGCCTTAGGGTCTATTCTCATATGATTATCAGTTCAGCTCTAATAAGTTCAGTTCAATTCAGTTCAACTCCTAGTTAATTTCCTTCTCTTATAAAATATTCTTTCAGTTCAACTCTAATCAGTTTAGTTCAGTTCAGTTTAGTTCATTTCATATCAGCTCATTTCAGTCAATGAGAACAGGCCCTAATCAATTTTTCACTCTCCTTCCCTACAGTAGTCAGTAGATATTAAAGTCAAATAATCTACCTAGTACTTTGTGTCGCTTAAAGTATAACACTTGAACAAAACGCAGGAAGTATGCAAAAATAATATTATTTGACTAGAATAATGGGGAAAATGAGAAATCTCCATACGTGGACAAATTAAATGATGGGCATTTTTTGAAGTTGAGGTGTTATGTCCCATATTTAATTTTTAAATTAAGTGATTGATATTTAAAATAAATATATAAAAATTAACAATTACTTTAGGATGAAATAAAAGTCAATTAAAAACCAATTTACAAAAATAAACTCAAGTTTATAAATAATGCATGCCAAAGTCAAATACTATTAAAGATGGTTAGGGGGTGTTTATTTGGTATTCAATTTGAATTTAGGTCTAATTCTATCTGATTCGAATTATATTTATTTGATGCTGAGAAATTGAGTCCAATACAAATTAATTTTTGGTATTTTAATTTGAATTCAATTCGAAATCTGAATTAAAATAAACTATCATTTTTTATGTCAATTAATCATTTTATATAATGCACTAAAAAAAATATTACGAAGCATATTAATTTGTCCTATAAAGACTAAAAACAGTTTAGTTATGTTTGCTTATTGTGTTTTCTATGTTATTAATTCAAGTTAAAATTAATATTAAATTTTTTATTAAAACTAGGGTGGCTAAAACGCATTGTGTGTGCCCTACCTAGCCACGTATATAGAGCTCTTTCGGTTTGACCTTATTCCATAAATTTGAGCTCTTTTGGTTTGACCTTATTCTATAACTTTAGTTGTTGGTAGCATTAATGAGAGAAAATATGTAAACAGATATGTTTAAGGGTATAAATATTTGCACACTATTCTTAAAATTATTATTTCTTTTTAAAAAAAAGGCAATTAACATTAATGAGACAAATAACTAAATAAACATTTTAGAGGTATAATCATCCAAACACTATTCATAAAAGTTATTTCAAACTTCTTAAAAGGTATTTCCTCCATTCCATAATATAATTCCTATTTGTGTTTTTTTCATGATATATAAGAAATAGGAAGAGAAAGTAGATGAAGTACATTGATAAAAGTAAAAAGTACAATTATAGATTAAAGTTAGAGAGAGAAAATGGAAAAAGTATGTGACATGTACAAAATTCAAGGGTAATTAAGAAATTATTGGCCTAAAGTAGGTAGAGTCCAAGTTGGTCTCTAGTAAGGTCATTTTTGTAATTTCAAAAAAAAAATACCTTTTCTGTAAGTACCAACGAGATATATAGCCAATACCATCCTGAGTGGTATCGAAATACCATCCTATTACACGTTGGTATCATCATAGTATTGCGGTTGGTATTATAAATTAACAAATAATATTGTTGGTATCAAATCACGTTAAGTTGGTATCCTAACTATAGCTTTGTTGGTATCTAGCTGCGTTCGATTGGTATCAGAGCCATACGATTAAGAGTTAAACTGAGTTGTTAATAATTAAGTAAAACTGGAGAATACTAGGCCCTCTACTGAGTGTAAAAAGCCTGATTTTAAGCATTATTATCATAGTCTTGAAAATACTAGTAATTTTGGCACAGTCCTTAATTATATAGTAGATCAAATTGGCGAATTAAGATCGGAAATTGATAACATACATGCTCGTTGTATAAATATCAAAAATAAGATATCAATAACCACGACCGATATTAATAAAAAAAAGTAAGCAACCTAAACGAACAGGTTAAACAAGTTCAACTTGCTTTAACAAACGAAGTTAGGCACCAATTTGGAAAAAAAGTATCACCTAATAAAGAAAATTGTCCCATATAAATATAAATATCCTTTTCAAAATCTAGATAAAAATAAAAATTTTACTGTATCACTCCCTAAAAGACCTACTAGCTAGTAATCAAGAAAAGAATAAAGAAAATAAAAATGAGCCCTCATCTTCAGGATAAAACGCTAAATGAATTACAAGCCCTATTCGATAAAGAAGAAGACCCTAATAGGCTTAATGAAATCATGAACTTAATTTCTAAAAAAGGGTTGCTTCTGATAATGAAATAGAGGAAAATAATTATGTTACTTTAGAAGAAGATTTATATCAACAAATGAGATTAATGAAGTTAAATGATCTAGACTTTCTACCCACAGAAGTTATTCAACAAAAGATTGAAAACAAACTAGGTAAAAGAGTAATGGATAATAATGATATTGGAGGAGAAATTATTAATAAAAATATTAATGTAAACAATGTTATCCAAAGACCTAGGTACCAAGGAGAAGGAAGTTGCACACGACCAAGATACATACCAAGGAAGACTACCCGGTTTAGTGTTAAGGTTATGCCTACTCATATACCTAAACAAGAAGTGACTCTTGAACCTATAAGTCAAACTATTTATAAACTTAAGTTAGACAGTGTAAGAGATAGACAGGTTGTTTTAGATCAGTGGAAGAAGAGTATGAGTAGCGTACTTAATTTAAATACTGAATGGACTTCAGAAAATTTCTTAAACTATATCGAACATAGTCTTTATGGCTATGTAGAAGACTGGTACGAGGAATAGATGGAGAAGTTAAAATAGCTCTAAGAGCTAGTGAATCACCTACTAGAATGTTCAGACAGTTATGTCAATACATTGAGTTAGAATTTATTGGTCCTAGAGCCGATCCTAATGAGAAACGAATGGAATATCAAAGAAAGTTAAGTAATTTGTCCATCTGTAATATGAAATATGTTGATGATTACATTATGGAATTTAAAACATATTATTATAAAATTGGTGAAAATGAAATAAATCTTGAAATGTTCTATGACAAATTACCCAGTCCTCTTAATAAAGAAATTAGTGCAAAATATCAAGAATGGAGAGAGAGATTCTTAGCTAAGGACGCCCTAGGAAACAAAATTGCTTTCCTTAGAAAGTTGATTGAAAAGAAGTGTAGAGAGGTTGCAAGAACTCAACAAATGAAGAGACAATTTCTCACTTGTTGGGATTTTCCAAATAACTATGGATGTGAAAGAAAAAACTATATAAAAGAAGTAACTATAAGAAAAATAAATTTGACCGATCAAGAGGAGAAACTTATAAGAAGAAGTATTATAAACATAAATATAGAAAACCAAGTAGGTTTTTCAGAAAGGCAACATATTGTCCTGAGAAAAAGAAGACATGGAAGTGTTGGTCTTGTGGAGAACTAAGACATTATGCTAATGAATGTAAGAAAACTAATCATAAACTAATGGAAGCCTTAGGAAGTTGGGATTACATAGAAATACAAGAAGACGAGGCTTTAGAATTGGCTTTAAGTAATAATAACGGAATAATAGAAATCATAAAAGAGGAAAATGAGTATAATGAAGAACCTGAAGTTAGTGATGAGTTTGAAGGATGAAAATTATGAAGAAATATATAATATGATGGAAGGAGAAGAGTTATAAGATTCATAGTCAGATGACAATGAGGAAGATAAAAGAAAAATGACAATAGAACAACTAAAAAGAGCCGAGTATTCATTTGAAGATAATGACCTAGATCAAGTAAACAAAGAAAGCTGGAATTTTCCCTAGATTACTAAAGATAATATATTTAAAACTTCTTTCTTTAAAACTATAACTAAATATGTATGTGAAGAAATGGAAGGAAGCATAGTAATCGAAGATTGTGAACAAAAGGCAACACGAAATTAATATCATAAACTGGAAAAGTATTAAAAAACATAAAGAAAAAGGAAATTATAGCTATATTTGTATTGGTGCAGTACAAGTATACATAACTCCTTTGCAAGATTTTGGTAAGGATGTTAAATGCTTGAGTTTTATTTGTGATATTAGACATAAAGAGTTTTATGATCAAATAATTAGTGGTATCACATGTAACTTAAGTCAAGGAACAGCAAGCTATATATGTGAACCTAGATATTATGTGAGCTTAAAGGATTCCTTTGCGTCAACGTTTTTAGCTATCAAGCTATATATTAACAGAAGGAGTGAAAATGCGCAAAGGAACACGACCCATACAATTAAGATGGAAGATGGTTTATAAGTTGGTAAACACTATAGACTCATCTTTTAAGAAACAAATAGTCGATGCTTAGAAATATGAGCAAGGAGGAGGTCCTAAGAAGAAAATTACACCTATAAAAGTAAATCCTAATGATATTGAAATTGAAAAAACTTGGGAGGAATTCTTTATGAACCCTGCAGTTAGTAATAGATTAACACTAGTACAAAGTTGGGCTTAAGTAACATTCATTGGTAACACTTTAAAAATTTCACGATTGGTTGATTTTTCAGTAACACTTTTGTAACATTTTAATATTAGGTAACATTTTTTATAACACTCTAATATTAGGTAACACTTTATAGTAACACTTTATTATTAGGTTATTTAGGTATCATTTAATTGTAACACTTTAATATTAGATAGAACTTGATTGTAAAACTTAATTTGATAAAATAATAGTAAAAAAAAACCCTCACAGCCTCACAACTCTCTTCCTCCTTATTTCTCGGTTTCTCCATCAAGCATTCAAGCTTTCTATTTCTCTTGAAACTACACCTCCTTTCCACCGCTACCCCCTTCTCGATCTCGGTGCTCCACTGTAGTCCACCGCAGCCTACCTCCATTGCAGCACGTGCTCCTAGTTAAAGAGACAACGATGTTTGCCCCCTCAAAAGACATCGATTGTCACCTCCTGGCTTCCATCTTCGGCGGCTTCCACCTTAAAGTTTGGGTTAGTGTTAGTTTCGTTTCTTCTCCCTTCCATTATCAACAAGAGTTTTGAGTTAGCTAAAGTTAGGGTTTTAATTCCCTCTCTCTAATCTTGTTGATGATTTCTTAATTTAATGTTTAATTTCACTATTGCCTCAAAAAAAAAAAAAAAAAAGAAGTTCACTATCTTCATACTGAATTTTGTGTGCATCAAAATTGGTCGATGTATTTTGATGAGTTTGGGGTTTTTGCTTTTTCTTCTTTTCGATAATTGCCGTTTTGATTTACATTGTAATTTGATCTTTGTTGACCAATCTATCCAATTTAATTTAATTATTTTCTATTCTGAATTAATTCCTCATAAGCTTGTCGAGAACCCAAGTAATTATGGGCAAAAGAGATGAAGAAATCCAGGACAATACCAGTTATAATCGGAGGAATGGTGTTTGATTACTTTGATATTCAATAAGCTACTGCTGCTATTCCTGCTATTACTTTAATGTATTAGTAACACTAAGAGGTGTTATATTCTTTTAAGGTGAATTAACATATATACTTAAGTATTAGTTAGTATTAATCCCCAAATTTAATTACCAATTTATTAAAAAAGTTTAGGATTACCGTCAAAGCAATTAAATTGAAATAAAAGAGAAGCAATCAGTAAGCTTCTATAGGCAGACAAATAATACTTGCTACTTCAAGAGTAGTTTGGGATGTCATAGTATTAATGCAAACTCTAGTTATATTAAGGGTTAGTCCCCTAAGAGCTAGAACTGAACATCATTTGTAGAACTTAAAATGTTAGGTTGAACAAAAAGCATCTATTAGCAGCTCATACAATAGTGTATGAAGTTGACTTTCTTAGCATTTGCTGAAGTTGCTCACTAAGTCTTCTTTTCTCATGCTCACAACATTCAACTCTAGCCTTCAACACATTTTTATTAGTCACCGTCCTTTGTTTCTCAGCCAACGAAACATTTATCACATCCTTCTTCCAAACAACTATGTCATTGTCAATCCACTCAAAATAATCACAACCACTCTACCCTGTTTCAAAATTGAAGAACTTGCAAGACCAAAACCTCCTTCTTGGGTTTTCATGAGTCCACGATGTTCTCTTGGCAACTGAGAAACCGCAATTACATCTCTTCATCATCGCGCAGCAATATTGTTCTACAAATACAATAACAATGTTAAATTAAAAAATGAAAAAATAAAGCAAATTGAAAAACAATTCTCACCTTAATTGATTCGCCTGTTAATTATAGGTTGTGTTTGCCCTTCAATTGTGATTCGAAAGATAAGAATTTAAGTTTTGTGAGTTTCAATTGCTGAATTTAGGGTTTGAAGGAGGGAGAATTGAGGGAAAAGAGGGAAAATCGTGAAAAAGGAGGGGAAAGAAAAAAAAAAGGGGGAGTTAAGGGGTCACGTGCTTAGCACGTGATTTTAAGTGGCCGTAAAATTTTGGTCAACGCCGAAGAATGGTCAGCGGACCCTCCTCGCAACCAAAGGGTTCATATAAGGATCTTCCTTGCCACCTTTTTCATAAAAGGACCTTCCACACAAGGTCGACCTCATATAAGGACCTTCCTCGCAAATTTTCCTAAATATTAACTAGTTAATGCCCAAGCCATGCTCGGATTTTTCAAAATAAATAGTTGGATTATTTTATCCATAATATGGCAAATACATTTTGTTTGTTGATTTACTTAGTTTTTTTTTTATTCGGTCGAATTGAACATAAGATTATGTATGTTAAAATTGAAATTTTCTAGCTTATCTTTTACCCCTAATAAAATTAATGTGTAATTATTGATTTCTTTTAAATATCAAGATTTATAACTAACTTGAGATTATTTATTTTTTAATGAAAAAAACAAACAAAAAAAAAATGTTTTTGGCGGGAAATTTTTTTATGTGGTCTTGACATGTGTAATCTAAGAATATTCCTAGGGATTACTTTAGTATAATATATAGATATAGATAGATAGACTAGGTTAATTTTCAATGACTATTATTTATTAAGCTATCATTATAATTAGCTTTTTTTATAAAAAAAAATAAATTTAATAAGTAAAATTGACAAATTTTATCAAAATAAAAGATTACAAAGGATATGTTAGATATAATACGATTTTATCACAATTATGTTACGAATGTTTCTTTATAAATCTATTAAATATTTGTGTTAAAGATATGTCACATTCTTTATATTTTAAGTAATCATATGTCGAATTTGTTGTCAACAATTACCTTTTAAATTACCAATTTTTAAATCAACAACTACCTTTTACTTTATCTTTGCGAATAACTGCTTTATATTGAGTTTTATTTTGGTAGCACTACCATTTGACGAATTCCGTCAAAATTTCCGTTAGTGGAACCTACATTCAATTATTTCAAACAAAATCAAGCCTAAATACATAGATTGGATCCTATTACAACTTATTTTAAGTCTACACTAAGTTGTCTATCATATATTTGTTTATTTGACATTATAAATGTCATACCAATGTATAATTTCCGTTAATATTATTGTGTCTACAACCCTTAAAATGTTTCACTTGTTCCCCTTATGAATAGTTTTCACATGTGTGAGTGTCATGTGTGATGGCTTTTTCATGTGGCAATGTTAGTTGTTTCTTTGCCTATGTGGCGTCTTGGAGGGGACATGTGATGTTTCCTCTGTCACCTTCAGCATTACTTCTTTGGTGATTCATGGAGACATGCATTCTTCTCCTCTGAATTCACTTTCCCAGTTTTTTTCCCCAAATTTTGTATGCATTCTTCTCCTCTGAATTCACTTTCCTGGTTTTTTTCCCCAATTTTTTTCTTTTTCACTCGATGATGATGCTGACTTGTTTTATTGCCCCAATTTTTTTTCCAGATTTTTTCTTCTCCTCTAGATCTCTGTATGATGAAGTTGACACATCATTGTTTGTCGATCTTCTATGTGGTTTCTCCGGCTTCCTCACCTTCTACAATAGAATATCACTTTCCCTACTTTCATGCTCCTGCACCTCGATTGCATCAACTTAGCATGCTCCTGCCAACAATGGAATCTGCATTTCACTTTCCCTACTTTCTCCTTCTCCTCCTCCATACGCCCTTTTTCTATCTTCTTCCATGTTCTAAACAACCATCAACAATCGGGTGGCGACGGTTAAATGATTAGATTCTTAGTGGTGAGTGACTCATCAGAACCCTAATCGTCTTGTTTTATTCTCTATATTTCTTTACTTCTTTCTCCACTTTCTAGATTTTATTATTGTAGCACCTGCTGATGAGGCGGCGATGGCTAATCAATTCACTAGCTTCGGCTGCCGTTATTCTGCCTAGCAAACAACTAAAACAAGTGACGAAGAACGCCTAGCAATCTCGCATTCCCGCCGGCCGTTGCTAATCAAGGAGTGGGTCGAATTCTCGAATCTTGCTCTCCGGTAATCTATTAATTAAATGTTTTGTTGGTTCTTTGGTGGATTATTGATTTGTCAAATGTTTAATTCTAGGGTTATTGATTTTTTTTTGTTCTAATTGTTTGTTGTTACTTCGAATTTAATTATTTTATTGAAAATTTTAATTTAAGCGTTTATTAGCTTTGTTAGTAATGGATTTTTATGTGTTTATCAAAGTTTAATGTTAATTACTTATTCTTAAGAGAGTTTTGTATTTTTTTTTTTTTTTTTTGCACATTCTCTGATTTTTTAGGGTTTTGATTTTTTTTTATGAATTATTTTAATGAATTCGCAGCAAGTGAAGACGATTTTCATATTTTGATTGCCGGAATATGTGAAGATGAGAAAATTGCATAATTTGCTGCTATTGTTTCCTGTTTATGAGGCTTCTCAAATTATTTCATAAAGGAGAACATTCTATGGGTTTTGCTATTTTTTTTGCCTGATTTTGTTCACACTACTAAAAATGCGCTTCAGGTGTTCAAATTTTATTCATTTAACATTAAATTAATTAATTTTAGATTTTTAAGTTTTTTTATTTTTCTTATTCTGATTTGCTCCGGTGTATATAGAATATGTTTTTCTTATGCGGATTCAAAAAAAATTTTGTTTGTCAAGAGAGGATGTTTGTTTTGATTTTTTTTATTTTTTATTTGTTTAATCTGTTTTGTTGTAATGGTAATTGTCTAATCAATGTTGATTATAAGTGTTAATTGTGGAGGAGCTTAGGGGGAAACATAAGGAGTTTATGTGTTAGGATCAGTGTTGGTTGTCATGTATTTCAGGGTGTTTTTTATTGCTATTAACTACAAGAGTACAAGTTACACATGAAACTACATCTGGGGTCCTTTTGGGTTTCTATAAACTTCTCTCTTTCTTTTCCTAGATGAACTAATCACATTTATTTATTCCATTAAATTATTCCTGCCCATGAATCTGTGATTTTTTATCATTTGGTTAGTTGGCTTCGTAGGTCAACCGGACCTAATCTTTTGAATCTAATCATTTCTATACTGGCCTTCCATTTTAGTGTTTGTCAATAATGTCATATAACTAATATGAGGGTTGATGTGGCCTCAGACAAGGGAAAACATGTAAATTTGCAGGACACAATTGCACCTGACTATATATAGTCAATGCTCTTGGACATGTATATCCTGTTATAGTGTAATATGCACTTGGTAGATGATTGAATTTATAGGTCATCATATTAGTTTGCACATTTTTTATGTTGATCATGATTAAATTACTTAAAGTTTCATAATTCCGAGGAGCCAAGTGGCATGATGGAAAATCAAAATCAATTAGCCAAAAAAACTTACCCAATTAGAGTTGTATTTGGAACAAACACTATGTTTGGATAGCAAATAGATAAGGAAAGGAAGAGGAGATAGATAGGCGGAAGGGAAGGGGAAAGAAAGGGAGGGGGAGGTCAACTCCATTTTCCTTCCAAATATCTCTAATTTTGGAGGGATTACGCTTATTTAAGAGAGAGGCAATATGGATCCCTCCATCTCCATTCCCTTTCTTACCTCAATCCTTTACCCAAACAACAGAGTTTGACCCCCTCCATTTTCTCTTCCATTCTTTTCCTTCCATTTTCTTCTATCCAAACAAAGTGTAAGTGTAAAAAATTGGAGCGCAACCTCTTTCAATCCATGTAGATGAAAAACCGGACTTTGTAAATGTTGAGAAAAAGTATACTATTATAGTCATATGGGTCCTGTTCTCTATGTATGTATAGATTGCTTTGGTAAAACTCTGCATCATCAATAGCTGACAATTATCTTCCTTACCTTCTACTGGTAAAACTCTGCATCAATAAATGCAGCTCTGTTGTGACCCTTGTGCAGTTCTCTCAAGACTCATTGCTCAAGTGAATAATCAATCATTTGTAATTTCACACTGTAGATATATGATTTTAACTATCATAAAGAATCTGGGAGATTAGATGTTGGCTATCGTGAACTTATTATGGGGTATTTGATCAAATAGCTACAATTGAGGTGCTGCTTGGCAAGGTTCCTCCTGACTTCTAATTTGTACGAAAGCATAAACCTAATGCCTATGAAAGTGCATAAAATGGCTTACAGTAGAGCACTAGAAGATTATGTTTAGTTGGTTGTACACCAAATTATATAGCTCACGGAATTATTTTTGATGTATGCTATATTATAATTGATGTATCAAGAGTTATAGCAACAAATGTTTCAGCTACATTTTTTTATGGATCGCAAGGGATGGAGGAGAAAGATTTTTGTAGAATAATCAAATAATTGGTTTATGTAGCCAACCCTACTTATGGGATTAAGGCTTTTATTGATTGACTGACTAATGACCCCCCCTAATTTTATTACTTTCATCTTTCTTACTTTACTTACTACTTAGCATAGATAATGTACAAAATGTCGGTCTATTCAATTAGTATTTGTTATTGGCAATGCTTTATCATTTCAAATATGAATAATGTCGCATGTGCAATTAATGTTGTTTGAAGTATTATCTTACTAAACATATACGAATACTATACATTTATTACTTGGTGTAGCCCATCATGGTGGCACCAACACCTTAATGTTACACTTATAATTTTGGCCATACAATTTTGCAGGCATCGCGCGCGTGAGGCCCACAACTTAATAGAATATTCCATCTACAAATAGCCTACACATTCTACAAGTAGTAGTCTACTTAAGAAATTGATATACAATTAAACAAACTTAGTTAATACCAAATTACACATTAAACCCTTTATAAAAAAAATATGTATATACACTAATTTAATTATTATGCAATTTTATTTATGGATACAACTCTATTTATCAACATATGCAATAACTAACAATGTCCATTTAAAAAACATACATACTACAAAAACAAGATCACACTTCCGGCCACACTCACTAATCACACTACATTGCTTCGCGCGCAACGCGCGCGCGTGGCCACCCTAGTTATTAATAAGTTGATATTATATACTTGCTCCTTTTAAATACTTGCAATGATTCTCTTATATGAAAATGTCACAATACTTGCACCACGCTATAATCGAAAAGATTTTTGTTTTTAAAGTTGTATATTACTCTTCTTTGAAGCTCATGACCCAATATTATACTCCTAACAGTCTCACACCCCCCCTCATTATAAGTGTATAATAAATCATGTGAGACCCGGTTATCTTATATACCAAATGTGTTGTAATTATTAAAAGAAACATAGGAAGTATAATCTCAATCTACTATCTGAATTAATTGATCATTTAACAATTGTTTTTGTAAAAATATTAGTTATATGATAAAAAAAATATGCCACCATTATTAATATTATGATTGACAAATGATGATATAAAATATCAAAATGATATTAGATCGTGGAGTATATTATTTCAATCGATTAAAATATTTATAAACGCGTGTTGTTTTTTTAAATAATAAATGTGGATACCTAATAAACAATATATTAATGTTGTTTTGAACTACTTCCTTCGCTCCCAAAAAAAATTGCAACACTTTTGCTAAAAATGTGATAGCTTTTTGGGAAAAACATTGCAATATTTATGAATCTGAGAAAGTACCATACATTTTAAAAATACTTTACTAATGCAAAAACAACAAATTAATAAGATATTAATAATTGAAAGTTAATCGAAAATAAATGTAAAACTGTCTCGAGCCCTGGATAATTGTGCGACTTAAGTTTTGTAGTATCTTGACTTGACTAATTGTACAACTTTATGCATTTAATAATGACTGAAATGTTTTTTTTAAGTTGCTTATTAAAATAAATTCATAAATGGATTTATTTTGAATTAAAGAATATTATGATACGGAGTATAACATAATAAATTTATAAGATACTTATTGATAGAATTCAGCTATATAAGCCCGTGAGATACACGGTTTGTTTGAATTTTTAAAATAATATATATATATATGTGTGTGTGTGTGTGTGTGCGCGCGCGCGCGCGCTAAAATTTGTTATATATTTAGATAAAATTCCTGATATCAATAGATAATATTTTATATTTAATTAATTTAAACTGGGAAATCTCATTCGCCAATTTGCTTACGTGTCATTTAAATGATTTAATTCTAAAAGAAATTAATAATCTCGTATTTAATTGGCTACCATGTTATATATTTAGATAAAATTCCTGATATCAATAGATAATATTTTATATTTAATTAATTTAAACTGGAAAATATGATTCACCGATTTCGCTTACGTGTCATTTAAATTATTTAATTCTAAAAGAAATTAATAATCTCGTATTTAATTGGCTACTACAAAAATTTATTATCCTACATCACGTGTTGAAATAATATATTTGATTTTTGAAAAGATAAAGAATTCTATTTGGAATAAAACAAGTGTTTTCAAAAGAAATTATTCGGTTTGATTAAAGATAAGTAGGGACTCTAAGTAACCTAATTTAATTAGGATAAGGACTCCGTACGGAAACTTTATTGTACAGTAGCCATCGTGTCACGATAGGTTCGTCGCGCCGAGATGGCCTTATCGCCATGCGATGGAGCCATCACGTCGCGATAGCCCTGTTGCATCGCGATGGAGTTGGTTTTACTCTGAGCCGGTCGGTTTTCCCTATAAATAGGGTCGACTTCCCCCGTTTTCAGAGAATCAACAATCATCTATTCTTTCTCTCTCTCTCTCTCTCTCTAAACTAAAACTTATTCTCTCTCTATTCTTCTAAGCCTAGCCTTTTCAAAATACATCATACGTCCATCACGAGTCTCGAATACACCTAACCAAGATCGAAGTTGTCTTAGACCTCGACGTGAAAGGTTGATAGTTCTAAGGGTTTTGTCCTAAATCTAATTTCAATTATTATTATCATTAATTGTTTGATTTAATATTTTCCTTGAAGTTACTAACGTGTGTATTGTTTTGATAGAAAGAGGTATAAGGCATCAAAATAAGTTATTAGATTTACTCTTTTTGTTCTTTGATATAGGAATCATGCTTATATTATTTTATTAATTCCTAGTATCATGTTTAGGGAATTAACTAATATTTCTAATATCATGTATGTTTCTAGTATCATGTTAGGGATAAAATATTTGATTTTTATTGTTTAGTGACATGCTAGGATTTGTTATTAATCATGCTAGTATCATGCCTAGGATCCTGCTAATAATATTATGCTTTGATAAGATTAAGATTGTGATAATGATGATGATTGTTGTTGCGTCAATATTATTATGTTTCTTGATATTATTATTGTTATTTCTTGATCACGATCACGCCCTCTCTTGCAAGTTTTAAGGGAATTTTTACTTGAAATCACGATTAATAAGATAATTAATAATTTAAATTAGGCTAATATGATTGTAATTCAAGTGATCACCAATAATAAATTTATTTGTGCATTAATAATTAACCAACATAGATTAACGAGTTTAGGATTAATTTATTGGTTGTATGTTGATTGGAAAGTGCACACGAATATAAGTAAAACAAAGTAGAAGCCTATTTACGGCAGATTCAATCTCTTTTAGGTTGGATTTGTTCCTTCATCCCTGAATATCCAGTCATGACCACTATGGAGTTAGCGATCTATGTGATCGTGAATGGTTTACAAGTTCTAAAACTTGTTGGCGACTCTTTTGCTCTAGATTCTTTCTCTTTGAACGCCACCATGCTTAAGTGTATGATCACAGTGGGGCTCAAGTTTAGACGGAAGACAAGACTTGGCCACCGAGACCCCTTGTGAGCTAATGCCCTAGAACTTATAGTCATTGGAGAGTTGGTTCAAACTTTTCTACATTCGTTGCATTTGTTGTTGTCTCGCAGGGTCATTGGCTTGAAGAGCCATAGTCTTCATCATTTCAGTCACATTGGCCAACTCTTGTCTAAGTTGATCGACTTCTTCTTGAGTTGCCATTATCCTCTTAGCCTTTCTCTTTTGACAGATCGGTTTATCAAAAAGTAGTACTTGGATGAAAGTGTTGTCCTTGATTAGCCGACCTTATCTCTTCTTGCCCAAGTACTGTAAATTAAACCATTCGTTTTTTAATGACTTGATTCAAATTGACTTTGATTTTATTGGTGTTTTTAAAAAAAGAAAAAAAAGCAAAAATAGGGTGCATATTTTTGGGAATAAAGTTTAAGGGTTCAACAAGTATGTTTTATTTGGAGAATTAATATCCGACTTGGCCCCCTAAAAAATGACGGAAAACACACGCATAGAAGACTCTCTAGACATGGTCAATGTGAAACATACATAAGGTGTGTGCTTTTAATAGTAAGTGAATGTGACATGCTTTGACACTTGTGTAAGACCATGAAACTATGTGCTTAGGCTCAATTAAGGACTAAATCAATATTATGATTTTTAATAAATCGATTAATTAGACTCAGTGTGAGGACTCGAGCAAGAAACTGGAATGTCGCTGAAGCAACAAAACTGTCGCCACACGCTAAGACCCAGCACCATGCAATAGAGTTGTCGCGTAACACTGGACACTGGCGTGTTGCGCCATAGTTCAAACTATTGAAGCAGTCATCTGGGTATGTTACCATTTTTTTACTCTAAAAGGACGGCCTACAGTTGTACTAAGTCTGATTTAATTAGTTTATTTAGACTCACATTAATTAATTAAGCAAACTCCTAGTCATTAATTAATTTTATTACACTCATTCACAAGTTAAACAAACAGTTAGTATAAGCATACATAGGCTATGCACAAGTAGTCAAGTAAGCACGATATGATGCAATGAGTTTGCAACCTAAACATGGCTCTAGTTCTCTAAAGTTCAGGATATGGGTTAGTCAAAGAGGGTCCATGGTTATGAGTCTGGATGCACCGCGCGGAAGCCTTACCTTTGGAAGGGTTGGCGCGAGAGGATAGGACCCCGCGAGTTAAACTCGCTTCCACGGTTTGGTGAATTCAACAAACTCGGATGTACCCTTTCGTTGCCATGAGCGTTTGATTGGGTAGATGGAGCATGAATTCCCAGAGGGTTATGGCCATATGTAAAACACATATGGGTTCAGAAAAAGTGAGAAAAGCTCAATCAGGAAGTCAAACCAAGCGAACAATACTAGAATCGGTCGAAACAAAGAAGGTAGATTTTTGGCTCGGTATTGGAAGAGCATGGCGCGAGACAACAGGCCCTGGTGCCAAGAGATAGCTCTGTCGCCAAACGACATTGTTGTCGCGCAGCGAAAGAGCCATCGAATGGCGCTAGCTCTGTTTTCTCGGCGCCGGTTCCTACATGCCTCAACAGCTTTTTGTTCTTTGAATTTTCTAATTTTTCGTAGCGTTTTTTCAATCCTAGTTGTGAAATATATTTCCCAAATTTCCTACATGTAAAAATCCTATGTTTTTTACGCATTATGGATGGTCTATCCAATATAATCGGACCTTTTTATGCTTATGCCAATAATGTCAATCAAAATTACGCACATGAATACTTAGAACT